TCATCCCTGCAGGTCTGTGTGTGTGTGCGTGTGTCTCATTGTCCCTGCAGAGCTGCAGGTCTGTGTGTCTGTGCATGAATACTTGTGCCAGCAGTTCTTGGGCACGTGTCTGGCCATTAGGGGAAGACGTGTTCTTGCATGTTGTGTGAGAGCTGAACAGAGTTGTGGTTGCTATCATGAGATTTTCAGCCAGGCCAAAGGCACACACAAAGAACCAAAGGATTAGACTGTGCAGCAGAGGGGGAGGCACCAGAAAAAGTCAAAGTGCAGTGGTTGTGGCCAATAAAAAGAGGAGCACAAAGGTCTGACATTAAATGTAAAATCAGGGTATGGTGTTGAGGTAGAAGATATTTCCTCTCCTGCCCCCCCCGCTAAAAACCCCCAAGCCTCCACTTCTTTCTCAGACCATGGCAGTGCAGGAGGGCAGGGGACTGCAGAGACAAGTGCTGGAAGCTGAAGACCTGACAATGACCTGCTCACCCTAATAATCCCACTGAGTTACAGGTTGCTCTGTGCCCTCAGCTGTGGGAGGAAAGGCATGAGACCAGATTCAACATGCAAAACCGTGAGTGAGAAAAACTGCACAGCTCCTGGCTGACCCACAGCACCCCAGACCTCCCCAGTGCAGCCTTCCCGTGGCATCCCAACCCTCCCCAGTGCAGCCTCCCTGCTCACCTGCCCGCGGCACTGGGATGCCACGGGAAGGCTGCAGGCAGCAATGCTGCTTGGCTGGGCTGTCAGTGCCAGCGGCCCCAGCAGGGAATCCATGCAGCAATGTGACAGGGACCCAGCAGCAAGGGCCTCAGCCAGAACGCAGCCACAAGCTGTTCCTCGCTGGAGAAGCCACACATCCTGATGGCTGCAGCCTGCCATGCTCTGTCAAGGGAAGGAAGCCAAGGGCATGGCCTGCCTGTGCAGGGCACAGCTGGGATGCAGAGGCACTCCAGAGCAGAGCAGACACGTGGGGAGAAGCTGAGACCTGCTGGCACACAGGGGCTTGTGTCTGCCCTAGCCTCAGTGTGGTCAGTGTCAGCTGCCAGCAGTGCAGGGGACATTCACAGGTGCTCAAGACACCAGTCCAGCACAGCCTTGACCAGCTCCTCCCAGGTCACAAGGGCACCCTGGGCACTGGCAGCCCTCAGCAGAGGGAAACAGCTCCCTCAGGGCTCACAGAAGGTGTGGGAGCTCCGGGCTCCATGAGCTCGGGCCACAGTGAGCGTCAGCACAGGCAGCGCAGCAGACACAGAACCCCGATGGTTGTGCATGGCACCCACCCAGCAGTCAAATACAAATGACAACAGTAAAAAACTCAGTTTATTTCTCTATAAAGGCAGAACTGTCTTCTAAAAACCAGCTCATTCCACTCGTGAGGGTGAGGGGCTGAACTGCAGGGGCAAGGCCTTCCTCATTCTGCTCCAGGCCTGGAGCTATCACTCCCTGAGGACGTGCACTGGCTGCGCTTGGCAGGCTCAGAGCACCGGGGACAGCCCTGTGTGGCCTGGGAGCAGGCAGAGTGAGGAGCATGGGTCTCCCACCTGGGAGCAGCTGCAGCTTGAGGCGGTTCATGCAGGCGGAGCAGGACAAGGAGGTGTCGCGGCCTGAGCACCCCACGGCAGACCCCGAGCGCAGTGCCGGGGCAGGGGCAGCGCTGGCTGCCCGGGTGCAGGCACAGGGTGAGTCCTGAGTGGCTGGTCTGTTGTTGCAGAGGTCTGGCTTAGCCCAGGGGAGTCTTGGGGCCAGCAGAGGGGAAGTCTCCAAGGCCTCCCAGCCCCATCCACCTGTCCGGGGGCTGCCCCAGGTGGCAGCACAGCAGCTGTGCTGTAGGAGAACTCATTCGGGGCACAAGAGAGGTCAATTCTGAAAAGCAAGAGAGAAGAAGACACAGACCATGAGGCATCTGGCTGGGAGCCCAGCACAGCCTGGGCAGGGAAGCAGACCTTCCCAGGTGAGCATCCCTGTAGAGGACATGCTGGGGGATGAGCTGATGCAGCACCAAAGGAACTTACCTGCTGGGCTGTGGGCTCCCCTCCCCAGCTCCTCCATGCTGCTTTGGAAGAGAACAGAGCACCCATCATACCCCAGGCACAGCCTCCTGAGACACGGCACACTCGTAACCCCGACACGGAGGGCATGGCACAGCAGAAGGCCCTGAACCCACTTGCCATCAAACTCCCTCCCCAGGCCAGCCTGTCCCGAGACTGTGAAGCCACATCTCCTTCCCATCAGGAGCCCTGTGTCCAAGGGGCTGCCTCTTCACCAGGCCACACACACAGCTCCAGTCTGTGCACGCACTGGCTCCCAGCTGATCACAGCTCAGCCCTGCGGTGCTGCCAGGCCCTAGCTGGGTGCACATGGAGAACATCCATGATGGAACAAGCCGCCGGCCCTTCTGCGAAGACCTGAGGGATAACCCTGTGCTGCTGGACTGGTTCTATTAGCTCCTCCCCAGCACAAGCCACAGACCATCAAGCTCAGCTCACAGCCCCAGTCCATGCAGAAGTCAGCATGACCAGGTCTCCATCCTGGCCCAAGCCCCAGGGAAATCCATGGGAGGAGAGGGACAACTCTGAGTCCCAGCTGTCCTCAGAGAGGCATGTGGGACAGGCTGGCAGAAACAGAACAGGGAATATCTCTGGGTACATCCTGGGGGATCAGCATCTGTCCCATGCAGCTCCACTCAAAAGCTGGACTGCAAGATCTGTCCTTCCACAGCTCAGGCCCCCATTCACTCAAGCTCTCAGCTGACAGAGGCAGAGAAAGAGCAGGAAGCTTCCACTTGGTCCCATACAGCTCTCCTCCACGATCCCACCATGCCCATGGCCCCAGCAGTTCCCCTTGCACGGGGCACAGAGAAGGAAACAAGACAGGGTTCATCAGCGAGATCCCTGAACACAAGCAGCAGCTCACCACCTACCCAGATAAGGTTTCGCCAACATTATCATCTTCCTCCTCCTCTTCCTCCTCCTGGCAAACAAACAAACAAGAAAAGCACCATGACACCTTACTGTGTGGGCGTCTCTGCCAGGAAGGAGGCCAGGCTGCTCAGAGCCTGTCTGGAGCAGCAGGGCAGTCCCCAGCCCCTGCATGACAGTCACTCCCCAGGCACAGCACAAAGAGTGCCCACAGGCAGTCGGGGAAAGACCTGGAGTGCAGGGCTGCAGGAACCCTTTGGGCTCAGGCACACAAGGGACAGACAGGCCACGGCCCATGCCATGTCCCCTCCAGCAGCAAAGCCCCAAACACAGGCTGTGAGCAGGGACCACGCTGACAGCTGCTGACACCTCTGCCCAGGGACAGCAGTGGGTGGGCACACCTTGCAGCTGGAGGGGCAGGCAGAGACCACCAGGAGCAGGCTGTACGAAGGTGTGACACCAAGCACTGCCAGACTGGGTCCAGCTGGATGCATGAGGCCAAGGACCAAGCGTCCAGAGGCTCCCAGGCAGGGACAACAGAGACCAGCAACAAGGCAATGCTTCAGTTGCTGTGGTCATGCAGGAGGTGCAGTGAGATGGGCAGGCCTGAGCCTTAGCCCAGGCTGGCAGGATGATGACCCAAGGGTCCTCTTCTTCAGAAGCAGCTCTCACCCCCAGCCATGGCACCAGGTGTGCAGCACAGGTCCAGGAGAGCAGGGCTGAGGCTGCAGTAGTGCTGGGCCTGACAGCAGAGCTCCTGGAGCAAAGACACCCTGAGGAACCACACCTGCCATGTGAGCCACAGAGCACAGTGCCCCTCCTCACATCAGGCTGCCGTGTGATGGGGGCTGTGCAGGTGTCAGCAGGGCTCTGGGAGAGCAGGAGGAGGGAGCTGCATAAGGGTCACTCTGTTCCTGCCCTAATTCCAGACAGCCCTGGGCGTGGGCCAGACTTGCACATACTGTACCCCAAACTGGTGTCTGAAGGGAGGGCTCCCTGGGGGGGCTGGCTCACGGGCTCTGCTGGGCTCACTGCTCTCCAGGACACATGAAGGGTGAAGGGGCTGATCCTGCCTAGAGCCTGGGACAGGGCAAAAGCAGCAGAGTTAGTGCCTGCAACCCAGAGAAAGCCCAGCTGGGGATGTGCAGGAGGGCCATGGGCAAGGGACAGGTACCCACACTGTGCTAGAGGAGGGTGCAAACAGGGGCGTGGGATCACTGCCCAGGGCAGGCACCACCAGGCTGTGTGCAGGGCTACAGTTCAGCAGTGCAGAGCAGTGCAGCATGGAGAGCAGGGACGCCTCCCACCCCACCCCAGCCACAGATGGGGCAGTAGCAGACAACACAGCCACAGGGACAACACTCTCCCTGCCTGGGAGAGTGACTAGGCAGAGAGCCATCTCCCCTCCACACTGCCCAGGACAGGGCCCCACACTGGAGACCCTGACCCCAGGGCTGTGCAGAGGGACATGTCTGAGAAATTCCTCCTACCTGCATGTGCTGCTTCCCAGAGATCCAGTGCCATCTGAAAGGCCTGGGCCACGGTCAGAGTCACAGCCTGGGCCTGTGTACATGAAGGAGGGAGCGTCTGCTTCCATCTGGGCCCTCAAGCCAGGACTACCCCACTGCCATGAAATCGAGACCCCTCCCCAGCATCCCTCACTGCCTTTTCCCTGCTTAACACACAGACGGAAGGACAGAGCTCAATGCTGTGCCTGTCTGTCCCTGAGGGCCAGCCACCTCCAAGAGGAGACCTCCAGAAAACCCCCTTTGCTAACTCCCTGCCTCTGCAGAGCATGAGCATGAGGCTCCAAATCCAGCTAAGGTGCACAGAGGTAAGGACCTTCTCTCGCCGAAAGGGGAGAAGGCAGGCCCTTGCTCCTACCCTTACTTCACTGAGCCAAGAGCAAAAGGAAAATGCTTACAATCTTCTTTTTGGGTGAGAGGAAGGCATGGCACTCCAGTGCCCCACTCTCCTGGCTCTGGGCAATGTAGGCAAAGACTTTGTTCTGCAGTTTGTCCGTTGTGCAGTAGGAGATCCTACAGGCAGAGAGGAGCTGTCAGGGCAACCCAGGACTCCAGCAGGGGACTTCTGGGTGCTCCCAACACCACAGCAAGCACTGCTGGCAACCTGAGGCTTTCCCCTGCCCCAGCAGACCAGGCAAGGGCCAAAGGCTGCCTGGGACCTGCAGCAGATAAGAGATCATAGCATCCACATGCATTTCCTCCTGCACTGCCCCAGTGTGCTCTGTGGTCTCCTGATGCCCAGCTCAACCCAGTATGTGAACTCAAGCACTGGGATACGAGGAGCACAGAAGAGTGGGTGATTCCCTCCAAGGACACAATGGAAGGTCAGGCAGAGGGATGGTCTGGCCTCCACATCAGCTCTGGTGCCGAGACCCAAATTTTGCAGCAAAGAGTTGCCCTGTCTCTCCTTCCCATCTAGCCACCAGCCTGCAGCCACGCTCTCCTCACACCCAGCATCCACAGATACCCAACCCAGCCAAAGGATAGCTGGCATCAGGAAAAATCACCAGCTCTCACAGAAGGGTGGTCCTGTGGCAGTGGAGGCAGACATGC